TTCTTAAGTCAAAATGTTCTTAACTCAAGCCGTTCTTAAGTCAAGACCCTACTGTATTGGTTGGCTTGCATTATGATAATTCTGCAACTAAGATAAATTTGCTTAGTAAACATGTGTATATCCAGAATGTTTGAATTCCTGATACTGCCCCAGGTTGCATATTTCAAATATTATGACGCCCACCCATACTGTTTCCCTAATCACCCTTTTTTTAAATTAGTCAGAATCCTATTGATGAGCACATAATGTTCAACTAATTTCTTGCTACTAATTATGGCTAATTGACAAGTTGTCAGAACATGTCTTGGTTGCATGCCTGATCACATGCCCAGCTGTTCAACAAGGACATGTTCTAGCAAGATGCAGAAATGCTTGCATGGACACCAATAGGATTCAGGTCATCTCTGCTCATCTTCTCCTAAACATTCCTGGAACTGTGGTCCCCTCTATATATAACAGTTACAGTTCTTTGATCCTCAAATCAATGGACCTTACTGAAACCTAATATACACCACTCTTATTATAACCAAATGGAAATACTTCTAAATCACATGTGAAAGCTGACCACACATACATTCCCTCCCCACTTCCTCTGTTGTTCTTCTGTGTCCATTTTACTTCTTCTTTGTAAAGTGCCGTGTTCACAGTGCTATGTCAATAAAGGGTTGAAGAGAAAAGAAGCCCAAGTCTTTCATGTTTGTGTCATGCTTTTGTGCCATTCTTGTTGGCCTTAAAAAGGCACCACCTCACTGAAGGCTGGACTCTTCGCTCCTACTCTCTTACCACTATGCCATGTGCCACCCTCATGGTGATATATCCTGGAGCTTTACTGGAAGAAAACTAGAAAGGACACAAACTCCTGTAGTTAACAAAGGTTGGGGTTCAGAGATTTGTAGGGGAAGAGCTTCCCCTCGCCAGTTCCACCATATGGAAATAATGTGAATAGTCTTGCAAACCTTATGAAGTGCCTCTTGCACTATAGCTTCACTTTCATTGTCCAGGGCTGATGTAGCCATGTCCAGCAGCAAGATTTTGGGGTTTCGGACTAAGGCCCGAGCAATAGCAATCCGTTGCTTTTGGCCTCCACTCATTTGGCTGCCCCCTTCTCCAACCATGGTGTCAAATTGCTGGGGGAAAAAGGAGAAATAATCAAGTAGGAACAGGTAGTTTCCATCACCATCTTAGAACTGCAGAGCTGGAAGGGGCCCTATGGATCATCAAGTCCAGCCCTTGTCAAGGAGGCCCAATAAGGAATCGAACTCCCAACCTAAACCATTGAGCTATCAACAACAGGAGTTACACCATATGCTACAGAGGAAGCAGTCTTTGGTTGAGCTGCCAGATGTTGAATCTTAGTGGTAGGAGTGTGCAGATTTGTGTATGTGCATGGTTACTACCTTACCCAACACTCTCCAGGCAGCTGAGCTATCTAGGGGATTCTGGGAGCTGTAGTCCGAAAACATGAATCTGTACGCTTCTCTATGGTTACAGAATCCAGGTGCATGATCTGTCATGGAGATGTAGCCAGCTCCCCTCAATATGTTCCAAATAAAATTAAAAGTAGCACGGATGATGCATAGCACCCTCATGTTTCAATTTGCCTGAAAAGAAGCAGGTATCTTGTACCTATTTTTTCGATTATTGTGTCCAGTAGTGTACATAGTAATCAGGCAGTGTAGAGACTGCACTGTAATTTTGCAGTCTCTACTAGGTGAGAAAAATTCTACCAGTAATAGCTATAATTTAAATTTATATCTGCACAATACACGTGCATCAGAATTTTCACAGGGTCTCCCATCTTCAACAACTTTGCAAAGGAAACTTTGGCCTGTACAGTAGTGAAAAAGATCCATTCAAAGGCGAGGGCGAGGAATCCCCAACAGAGGAGTGCTATGGTGAGGACAAGCCAGATGAAGAGACAGGCCAGGCTGAATGTTGCCAGGTAAAATGCCAGACTGCAGGAGTGAGACTTATTGGAAGAAAGAGACTCCTGGGGAGTAGATGGTCCCCTCAAGGAAAGCTCTTCTTTCTGAGGAGACCCACAGGCCAAACCCTGCAGCTGACATCCTTCCTTAGTAAGCCAAAGTTTCCTAGGCAGAGTAGTTGAAGCTGGGAAACCCTCTGAAAATTCTGATGTGTTTGCATTGTGCAGATATATTTCTAGATCATACCGTAGTTATTATTGGTAGAATCCTTTGAGTCATTAAGGTGTCCTCTCAGGCTATCAAGCTAGCTTAAATTCCTCATTTGTTCCTTTTTGCCCGATTAACACATCACAAAGATGGAAATGTCAGAGTAGCAAGCCTGGAATCTCTTTGATCCTTTGAGATCCATTCGTGTCCATGTGCTCTTCTTTTTCTTTTCCCGAAGGGAACCTAAAGCCAATTCAAGTCACTAGCATTTATGCTAGAAATCAAAACTATATCCAGGGCTTGACCTCTGTCTCTTGACATTTCGTGGGTCTCAAGTTATGACAAGCCTGGGGAAGGTATGGTGTCATGTCATAATTTTCCTCTTATACTGTTTACTTCCATAAAGTGCCTATTGGCACCATGTAAGTTGCAAGGGGGAACTGTAACCAATTAACAAGGTGCCAGTCATGCGCTGGTGTGATGGGCACACAGCTAGGAATGCAACCAATACCTCATTGAATAGCGTCAGTTCATGATTTCACTTATGCAAGCATTAAGCACCAGTAGAATTCATTTTGGCAATTAGGTGCCAACAAACAAGATTCATTTATTGGACTGCTATTTGTTTATCCTGTATGTAAATAAGGGATCCTGACTGCACATCCAATCAAGCTAATGAGGAGAGGTTTTTTTCCCCAGGGAGGGGAGGAGACATCTTTTTAGGTTCTGACTAGATATGACTTTAGTATTTCCTGCATTACACCATACTGTGTGAAAAGTCTGCCTAGGGGGCATGTAAGGATTTGTCCTGCTTTCCCCCATTATGTTTGATTGGTGTTTGTGTTCTTTCTTTATACTTGTGATCACATCTTTTTGTACTTGTTGTATATGTATACAATCACAAAATAAATACACACACAAAGTAGTATTATTGCCTTTCTATGAACTGACGTTCACCTTACCTGAGGCAGATCCATGATAAAGTTGTAGGCGTTGGCTTGTTGAGCTGCTCGGATAATGTCTTCCATAGTTGCATCTTCCCGTCCATAGCGAATGTTCTCTGCGATGGTGGTGGAGAAGAGGACTGGCTCTTGCTCAACAATGCCAATCAAGGAACGCAGCCACTGGATATTGAGGGAACGAAGATCATGCCCATCCAGAGTAATCTATGCAAACAGAGGTGGAAACCATTGTGACAAACAATTCTCCACTTTAGTCTTATTTTGTATAGGACGAAGGCATTTTCATTGGGGAGACTAGGCTTCTCAGAGAAATGAGAACACGTCAGTGCATTCAGTGGCATGCATCTCTCGTACAGACAATCCTTTTCATCTTTACAGTCCATCACCCACATGGTTGTCTTTCTGCTGACATTCACACAAGTGGATGTTCGCTACTTTTACGAACACCGTGGCTCTTAACGGGACAACCTCTGGCTCATGCAACTGCAAATCAGAGATCACACAGAGTGCTGTGCCTGCTAAGGGTTAGGTTCCACATTTCCACAACAGGACCCTGTTGGAGAAACATGGGACCTGCTGCAGTTTTTACAAAGACACGAGCAGCTTGCTCTAGCCTGTTATAGTTTCTCTTTGGTTTCAAAAGCAGTCTGTTACAAGGCTGTGATTCTGAGAAAAACACATCTAATTAAAGCCCCTTTGGACCCATGGATCGATGGTCACAATTCTTTGTATTCTGGTCCACATATTTGTATGACTTTGGAGACACAGAAATCACCAAAGAAGCACACTTTAGGTGTCTTTAATACATAATATGACAATTTCTTACCCAAATCCTACGTATGTTAAGAAAAAGCTACTCTATTAGGAATCATTTGGAATATTTCTGTTAGAATGAAAACATGCAAAAGAAGTCAGAATACACTTCTTATAGAATAGAATAGCCTTAGACAATCTTCCTAAAGAGGAAGAATATAATGCACAAAACAACAAAGGCTTTGAGGATGTATGCTATATGGTGATATGTTTTCTCAATTCTACTATATAGCATGAAATCATAAGGTTTTTTAACACAGAATACTATTTTTAAAAAGCAGAAGCATTTGAAGCATGGATTTTTGACAAGATGTAAAAAAAATTATTGGATTGACCAATGCAGAAGTATTAAAAGAGGATAATGAAGATCAAGAAATGATAAAACACCTAAAATGCAGAAACTGAAAGTGCAGTTTGTGGCTGTTGATAGTGAGGGTAAAACGAACGGGAAAATACATGCAGCAATGAAAGGAAGAACCCATTGGCTGAAGAACCTGGGGGGGGGACTTGGTTTGGAGGCAGCAGAACATCATTCTTTAGAGCTGCTGTGTCCAAAGTCATAATGAAGATGTCCAGCCTTCAATAGGAGAGGGCAAGAAAAACACAAAGAGAATGATAGTATTTTTAATGGATGCCTTTTGTCCACATGTGGCCCAGGTGAGCAAAGCCAGGTTCCCACAGCTGGAAACGTTCCACCCAGCACTTCATCGGTGCACTTCATGGGGGAGGCATGGTCATCTTCCACCACTAATGCAGAACGTCCACAGTGACAAATATCTCAAAATCGGCTTATGTCAGACAAAGCGGGAAATCAGTTCACTGTTGTACTGAAACAATGCTTCCTCAGCTCCTTTTGCTAGATGCAGGACCATTTCCTTTGAACAACCTATGTTGTACTACAGATACTGTATATATATATTAGATAGATAGATAGATAGATAGATAGATAGATAGATAGATAGATAGATAGATAGATAGATAGATAGATAGATAGATAGAGAGAGAGAGAGAGAGAGAGAGAGAGAGAGAGAGAGAGAGAGATAGAGACAGACAGACAGACAGACAGACAGACAGACAGACAGACAGACAGACAGACAGACAGACACCATATATTTAAAGAGCCATGATCTGTCTCCCTGCAGACACAACTGTGAATGGACGGGGTCAGTATTGAGCTCCTCCAGTTTGCTCCATGGGCACGCCTCCTATTTCTAGCCTTTACTTATAAAGGGAGTCCTACACATCCCCCATATAAATATTGCATGTTCCTTGGCACACCCACTCAAGGACCAAAAGAGGACAGAGGGCACAGGATCCTTTAGCTTACGATAAACATGACAACTTCCTAAGGAAGAGGTTGAAGGAAAGCGCTCACCATCCCTTCACTGGGGTCATAGAATCGCTGGATCAGCTGTATTGTGGTACTCTTCCCGGCTCCACTTGGGCCAACAAAAGCTGTCGTTTCCCCTGACTTGATCACCATACTTAGCTTGTCTAGAATCTGGAAATGAAAAGAAAAAAAAAAGACACAGGTAAAAAAGGGATGCCAGTCTGTATTTGGAAAAAGGTTAGCATTGGTGCTGTGAGCAATATCTGGAAGCAGCTGTGTGCTACAGCAAAGGGATCAACTCCTTACCTTTACCTCAGGCCTGGATGGATAATAGAACGTCACATTATGGAATTCAATTTCACCTCGTACTTTATCCAGTTTGTGGCCCTCTTCTGACATGCAGTCGATGGTGGGTTTCTGGGGCAGAGATCACCAGGTACACCAATTACTACCTCCTAACAAAGAAGCTTTTGAGGAGAGGCATTCTATAGAGCCACACCCCATTCCCTCCACCCTCAAACATTGGAGAGAGTCCTGCTCCTTGAAATGACCCTGCTTTCCATCCACCTTGCTGAGAACCAGCATGCCAAGATATCTCCACAATATCTCTGTGGCAGAAAAGAACCCAAATCTTTCATCCTGAGGACTTCTCTTCTTCTCCAGAAGAGAGAGTTGAGAAAGGTGTGGGTTTTTTTGTGTTGTTTTTTTTTTTTGCATGATGATGGAGATGCATTTTGCAGCAGTGTCCAAAGTCAGCAGCATGCTTACAGCAGCTAGGGTTAATGGGCCAGCCTTCTCAGTCCCTGAAATTCCAGGGCCCAAACTGGGGACCCCAAGGGGAGGGGACCACGTGAAATTGTTGGGGGGTAAGCACTTGGGATGTCACAGGTAGCAGGCCTTTGCCTACCAAATGACTTGTGTGTGTGTGTGTGTGTGTGTGTGTGTGTGTGTGTGTGTGTGTGTGTGTGTGTGTGTGTAGACACACATGAGAGACTTAAAAATATAATCTGTGTTTTCTGCACCACCTCTTATGCAAATACAATGTCTGCAAAGCAAACAAACATATTCGCGCTGAGTCAGAGAGGCCTGGTTCCAGCTGGGACTGGAGAGGAGATGGGTACCAAACCACCACACCCAGTGAAATGACACTTTCTCCTGCTTAGGAACTGCTTGTCCTGAGATTTCTCTCCCTGCCTGGAGAGGCAGAATGGCCCCTGAAACGTCAGCCAGCGCCCTGAGACATGGCAAAAGTATAAGTGGTAGCTGTGACTGCAATAGTTGCGCTGGTGCTAAGAGGGGCCAGCAGGGGCCTTTCATGTGATGGGAGGGGTAACATGTGGCAACAGGCTGGAGAAGGCCCATCTCTCATCTATATAGGAGTATTGCACTACTAGAAACCCAACGTAGCCATTACTGGTAGGCCTAGAAGATGCAGTAGAGCGGAGACCGATATACACATTATGTCCATGGAAATCCCTATTTGTGCACAATGGAATTAAAACATCTCCTCTCTCTTTTTGCCATTTAAGGATTAAAACCAGGAGACCACAGCTGTCTTTTATGGACACAGCTCACTGGCACTTGTGGTTAGTGCCCTGGGTGAGAATTAATCTGGCCGTTTCATCCTTGTTTCGTCCTTTCCCTGAAGCTCTGGAAAGGCTCTGTGGTCTTAATAACCTTCTCGAATGCCTTTGGTCATCTGCCTTCATTTCTTCTAATCATGAGCCTGAGAGGCCATAACCACTTATTTCTTGAAATAGCCATGCGGCCTTCCGGTGGGGTTTCCTGATGATCAGGCCACTCACCGAGTGCGGGCCCAATGGATAAATAACAGGGCTTGGTGGTAATTCGGATATTCATGAGCAAATCATTTAAGAATGTCACTTGGATGAATACATTCTTTGTAAACGCACAGGCCTAGCGCTGTTGGCTTTAATCTGCAATCAATTTTTTCCGTAATCACCCTAATATTTCTCATTTGCACTGTTGGCAAAAGCCGGCACACATCTCCAGGCTCATTTAATAGACTCCCCCCTTTAAAAATTGTCTGGCAGCACCGCACCAGCGGGTTACTCACTCTGTCGATTGTTTCAAAGATATTTGTCGCAGCTCCTCGGCCCGTTGCAAACGCTTCCAAACAAGGAGACGTTTGGCCAAGATTTAAGGCACCTACTAGAACACCAAAGAAAACCTGAAAGGTAAAAAGGGAGAAACGCTTATGTGTGGGGTTTGTGTGTGTGTTAAAATTGCTTTCGTGCAGAAACTAAATGATAGCGAGAACGGGCGGAAGGAATATTTCTTCTGGCAGACAAATGCTTTGATCTTTAAAACAAAAAGAATAAAGGGAGCACACAGAAGTCATTCCTGTATCCAAAGACTACGATGCAATTAAAAGCAGGGAGCAATTTCAAAGCAGCAGGAAACAAGATTCTCAGCAAAGGTTCCAAGGATCACTCGAGATGATCTCCTGCATTCTCTGGCTGGTGCTCAATAGGCAGCCGAAACGGAATCATCCACGCACAAGAAGGAACTACAAGGTTTGTGGGTGTAGTTTTTTAAAAAAAGAGTAAGGGGATAAAACCTTAACATTTCACTCCACTGCCTTTGTGTAGCCACAAAACGCACAAGAAAGGAGCAAGAGGGTAGCAAGATCAAAACGGCACCCTGATAAAGAGCATTTCTATGCTGGAGTATTTGGCTAACAGTCCCTAGTTGCTAAAAAAAAGCATCACCAACAAACAACCCCCCACTCCAAAATAATTGGGTTATAGTTCATTTTGTTGCCCCATAGTGGCTTGAGTGGAAAAGGAGTTTCAGTCACGGATTCCCTAATTCTCTTGCCCAAATGATACTCCTTGTAACAAGCCTTCCAAGGTCCCCCCAAAACCTTAGAAGCAGCTTGGGGTGCATGCAAAACACTACCTTTAGATGAAGTTGGTGGAAAGGCTCTTCCCTTTTGCCCCCCCCCCCGAGAGGCCTTCTGTCCACAATTTTCAGAACCCAACCCAATGCAGCCACCTTATTGGCTAAGGTCAGCTACCCATTAACAAAGTAAAACCATTTGCTCCTTCACTGTGTGTCTCGCAGGGTGTTCCAACGTCCATAAAATAATCAATCAAAGGAGAACGTTGACTGGAATGAAACGTATTCCTTTGACTGACTGCTTTATGCACATCTCTGCCACCCACCCAGTCCAATTTCTAAATGCATCTTTAAGTGCAGAGGCAAGACAGATGGGGAGGGGCATCAGAGAGCCATTACCTGCAAAAGTGTCCCAGGTGAGTACTCTTCTTCTTCAAGGACAAGTTTTGAGCCATACCAGAAGGCGAGAGCATAACACAGGAAAATAATGCACCAGATATAACCGGTGAAAAATCCCATGATTATTCCCTTTCTTATCCCCCAGTTTTGGGCAAACACGAGGTTTTTGTCGTATCTGTAGAAAAGCAAAAGGAATTTAGAAAGTGCATTTGAAAAAAAAATGTAAAAGGAGATGAATAATAAAATTAAGGACCTGGCCGGGATGGGGTGGAGTAGATTTTTCCAAAGCAATAGTTCACTGGTACTATTGTGACACTGCATTTCACGGCCACTCTGAAACAATTCCTCATATATTTCCCAACTATTCCTGCTTCCTCATTTCAGAATGGTCTACTGTAAGCTTTTGTAGTTAGTTGTTTCTATTTATTGCTTAAAAAAAGAGTTTGGATTTTGATAGGTTTATTTTTTTAAAAAAAATTGTTGTTATGACCCCATGAATGAGCAATCCTCAAAAATCTGCAGTAAAATCCTCAAAAATCAGAAAAATCAGCAGTAGCTGAACATGCCCTAAAACAAGCTGGACATGAAATTCTATTTCAGAATACTGAAATACTGAACAACACCAGCAATCACTATGTCAGACTGCACAGGGAAGCCATTGAAATCCACAAGCACCAGCAGAACTTCCAAAAGAGAGAGGAAAGTTTGAAACTCAACAAAACTTGGCTCCCAGCTCTCAAAAATACAGTGTGCAAAAGGTCAACGAACTCTCCCCAGCCACAAGGACAGGGGATCGCTACGCACAAAAGACCGGCTAATGACACCCATCAATCACAGTGACAGATAATCTCTGCTCCTTATCGCAACAATCCCCCCACAACAAGACCCACTAATCACCGATCTCCAGAAAAGGACAAAAGCCTATCTCACAGCCATAAATACTCAACTCCCAAGCAAACTACACCAGAGCACAGAGTGCTGTCCTCTGAAGATGCTGGCCACAGAGATTGGCGAAATGTTACGAAGAACAACCTTCAGAACATGGCCAAAGAGCCCGAAAAACTCACAACAACCAATCCTCAAAATGTTCTGTCCTCTACGGCTTGGTTCAGGTCTTGCAAACTCAAGCCTGCAACTTTCTTTAGGGAGTTTGTCAATCTCATATTTGGTCTTCCTCTTTTCATGCTGTTTTCCCAGCAAGGAATTTACTTTGGACACCTTCTCATGAGGTGTCCAAAGTAGGATAGTCTCAGTTTTACCATTTTTGCCTCCAGAGACAGTTCCCACCCATACACGGTGATCGGGACTACAAGAGTGTGGATGATTTTGGTCTTGGTCTCCAGTGACACATCTTTACAGTTGATGATCTTTTATAGCTATAATGACCCAGAAAACACGGCAATGGAAATTTAGGGCTGTCTTTACAAAAAAAATTTGTTTGGGAAAGCAAAGATGAGGGAAAGACCATTAAGTAAAACGTTTCACCTATGCTGTAAAAGTTATGCCTGAAAGTCGGAAGAGCAAATTAGGGTGGCAAGAAACATTTTGGGAAAACACCTCCAATGTCTTGCTACCTGTTAAAATCATCCCTGTGTTCTTTAACAGCCAACTGCAAGAACATCCTGTTAATAACAAGCAGTGCAATGAATTACTTGAGGAAAATAGAGCAACAGTAATGATAATGTCAGTTTGGTTGCCAAGAATGAGTAATGCAACGAGTCCCTTTTGAAATGTAATCCTTCTGGCTCTTCCTAGACATACAAGCACTCACAGACAAGGTTTTCATTTTTGACCTTGCACTGTCTCATTCGGGGGGGGGGGGTTCCTCTAGAGGATGTTGCATTCTGGTCCTATCCCTCCCATTGCTTCTTCCATCGTTTTCCTTACCCGTCCCTGCCCCCCAAAGAAAAGAAAGAAAGTCCCTTTTGAAATGTAATCCTTCTGGCTCTTCCTAGACATACAAGCACTCACAGACAAGGTTTTCATTTTTGACCTTGCACTGTCTCATTCGGGGGGGGGGGGTTCCTCTAGAGGATGTTGCATTCTGGTCCTATCCCTCCCATTGCTTCTTCCATCGTTTTCCTTACCCGTCCCTGCCCCCCAAAGAAAAGAAAGAAAAAGAAAAACAATGTTGCATTCTGCTCCTATCCCTCCCATTGCTTCTTCCATCATTTTCCTTACCTGTCCCTGCCCCCCAAAGAAAAGAAAGAAAAAGAAAAACAGAAGAGGAGGAAGGGTGGGATAACTCCACCATGCCCTTTGAATGGTGGTGCATGGAGGCCTCTCTCTGGATGTAATTTCTAGCCTAAGCTTTTGCCATGCAATAAAAGATCATTTTCAGAGGTGGCGGCTTGTTTACATTCATGTTTAATATCTGAACAAAATGTTCCCGTATTCCATCGGTGTACAGCTTGCTTGTTCAAGTCCCTGAGCTAGCCTTCAGATGTGAGCCAACCTTTCAACTTCTTTTTTCTCTCCTCCAAAGGCAGCCACGGTTCTGACGGATGACAACACTTCATCAGCCACGGTGCCAGCTTTTGCGTAAGCCTTCAATTCCAGACCTGTCATCTTCGCAACAGCCTAAAAGAAATCAGAGAGAGTCACCACAGGGAAGGTTTCTCTTCTTTGGATTTTATACTCAGCGGAACAACGCTCTTGACTATCATATTGGATTATATAGGGTTCATCAAGAGCACTTTGATACAGCACATTCATATGTTCTGTTCTTTTCTCATATAGCCCTCCTTATAAATGCTGCATTGCTTATATGATACAGATCCTGTTTCCCTTTTGTGTTTAATAGAATCAGGCACATTTCGAGTGGTATAACCATATTCCATTATCAACACAAGCACTGGCCCTAACATTGGGCAAAATGAGGAAGTTGCTCCAGAGAACAGATGCAAAGAGTGGGTGAAAACTAGTGCAATACTAAATGACCAAGCTTTCCATGCCATTATGGCCAGCTCTTCATCCTTCGAGGTAGCCTGCTGCCCTTACGGGTGATAGAAGACATTGGCCTGTTGTTCATGGAGCAGGGAGATACAGTGATCACTTGGGCCACTTGGCTTTTGTGCCTGGGATTGAGAAGGGGAGGTGGCATCTTGTCTCTTCTCTCACACTATCAAATATTTTGGGCCAGCCTCAATTCACATATTCTTCCTAGAGCCAGATGTCCTAAATCTTGATGTTATATACACAGATGTACAGCATACCAAACATAATTATACAACACATTATAGAATATACCTCAGGAACTTTTTAGCACACCAGATTGTACAATTATATCATTTAGGAGAGGGTGTGGGGTTTTTTTGGGGGGGGTGTTAATGGATTATTGTGCTCTATTTTTAATATTAATTTTACTGACCATTTGTAATATAAGACTTGTCTAATTCTATTTTAATATTTGGTTACTCCCTGTTTTTCAGCTTTTAAATATTGTCTTTCAATTGTTGTAAGCTGAAGAGGGTGTGGGGTTTTTTTGGGGGGGGGGTGATGGATTATTGTGCTCTATTTTTACTATTAATTTTACTGTCCATTTGTAATATAATACTTGTCTAATTCTATTTTAAGAGAGGGTGTGGGGTTTTTTTGGGGGGGGTGTTAATGGATTATTGTGCTCTATTTTTAATATTAATTTTACTGACCATTTGTAATATAAGACTTGTCTAATTCTATTTTAATATTTGGTTACTCCCTGTTTTTTAACTTTTAAATATTGTCTTTCAATTATTGTAAGCTGCCTTGGGTCCTTTTAGGGACAAAGGTGGGGTAAAAATAGTTTAGATGATAGATAGATAGATAGATAGATAGATAGATAGATAGATAGATAGATAGATAGATAGATAGATAGATAGATAGATAGATAGATAGATAGATAGAATTAAGGCTTCTGGGAGTTGCAGTCCAAGAATACCTGGATTATCTAAGGTTGGGAACCACTGTTATAGTACATTAATGGCTAACTTATTGTGCCATAAGTGTTCACATACTAGAACTCTCTTTTTCCAGATGCATTCTGCGCTCACTTAAAATACGTGTGAACATGTGCACATATCTATGCATATATAACTTATACTCTTCAGATTGCCCTCATTAATGACTATGTGCCATGGACTGGTATCAGATCTCCATACAGCTTCCTATGGTCCTCTGAAATCTGCTTCAGAGGCTTGAAGGCCAGATTTCCAGAGGCTTGAGATAGCTGCAGGGGTAAGGAAGAGAAAGAAAATTCCCACTGCTGCAAGCAATTCACTTGCAAAATATTGGATGTAATCCATAAAGAGCACCGCTAGTTTCCCATTATCTGTAGTCCATTCAGGACTACAGAGAGCTGAATGGAGGAACAGTGAAAAATGGTGGGAGACTATCAGTCTTTTTGTAAACAGGTTATTTGAGAGTGGTGGAGTAGGTTCCTGACATAGCACCAGACTTGAAAATTCTTCCCTATGATTTTGCTTCCTCACAAGACCATATTAAGATACAGATGGCACTGTTCCTCACCAGGCCCATTAAGGCTGCTCCAATCCCAAGCAGCGGACTGACTGAGATAATAACCAAGGTCAGCTTCCAGCCTCGGACAAAGCCCAACAGGAACCCCCCAACGAAGGTGGTGAAGCGCTGGATGAAGATGGCGACTTGATCAGCAATAGCATCATTAATTTTATTGACGTCACTGTGGAGAACAAGAAAAACTGGAGCAGGAGATACATTATCTACATCAGAGAAATCTTGCCGAGAATGATTTGTCTCCTTAGGGGTTTATTATTCATTCTTTCTAGAACTTGGAAATTTTACTTTTGAGGACTGCAGCTCAAATAAGGTAATAAAAAAAAAAGTAATTTCCCCCAAATTCTGATTGTTTTATTCATCAGTATTGCAACTTAAAACCCTGGTACACCGCATGTCCACTCACATTTAGTTCAGGCCATAGGTTCTTGCCCTTCCAGATCTTGGGGTTAAACAAGACGACATACTGACCATCACATATTTAGAAGCCTTTTCCATTTTGTGGTGAAAGACATCTGTATGTATCCTAACGTGATTTTCCTTAATTCTGTATCTTGCATTCCATTATGCTTTCGTTTTTGATTGGCCAACAGAAGGTAAGCATGGACTTGATTTGCAAGTCGAACTGCTGAGGCAGTCACAAGAAAGGAAATCCCATTGTCAGAGGGAGAGAAATGCTAACCACTGGGAATACGAATTCACCTTAATTTTGCTTAGCAACCAAGATTTGCTCATCAGGCACCACTAATTTTTGAAAAAAGCTTGGTCAGATCTGATGTTTTAGGTATTTTTCCCAGTCTTGAGAAATCTCCTTGTGACATTCCTCCCTTATTTTCTGTGCCAAGACTGTGGCTGTTTCCTTAGACATTCCACAAAGCCTACTATGGCTATATGGCTATAGTATAGGGAATGTGGGCCAACCCGTGATATTTTGCTGACTGAAACAGTGCAACAATTGGTGCCTGCCCATCTAATTCAGGATGCATCATATCCAGAGCTAGCCAAGTGAAGAGACATAGTAAGATATCATTCAAGCACCTCATCCTATATCTAGCAATAAAATACAACGACAGTAAGCTAAATAACTTACAAGGTGCTGCCCTTTTATGGCATTGAAAATCTGGTGAGTGAGACAGCTGTGTCATTCAGCCCAATGGCAGCGCCAGTCCTTGAGACAACAACATTGTCTCCGGTTTGTTATCCGTTGCTGTCCTAACAGTAGGGTAGGCCTTGTCAACAACTGGTGCACAATGCTGTCTCTGGTCTACCATGGACAAAGGTCTCAACTGCCAAACGGATGGGACAGTACTGTTTAGCATCATATCCTACTTTGATGGCAGCAATAGACAGCCACCTCACCAGCTTCAAAAAAAAAAAGGTGTCAAAAACATTCTAGAGATACCGCTATTAATAGACATTCTGCATCACTTACTCAGAAATTCTTGTGTTGAGTTCCCCTACGGATGTACAATCAAACCAGCCTATATCCATCCTCATTAATGTCCTGAAATAGGCTTTTCTGATTTGCTGTGTTTGCCGAGCAGCTGATGTTACCCATAAGCAAATCTGGGGTGAAAGCAGGAAGTACGGGAAATGAGAAGAAAATAACTTCTAAAAGAAAAACAGCTTTCCATCCATTCCTAGGGTATAATGGAAAAACCTGACATAGACAGCAGCTATCTAAGTGGAATGTATTCTAGCTTCCAGCATATCTGGTACATGTTGTGCCTTGTATTATGCTCATGCTGGCCACGCTTTATGACTTGATTCAAACATCTCTGGTTATATTGCATTGGCAGGAACAGTTCCTTTTAAAACATTAGTGGGATTGCCCGGCTGTAACCAGAAACTGAATTTATATGGCACTGGGTGCATCAGGTGCTAGTGAAGGTAGCCAGGTAATATAGCAGCCCTTTTAGCCCTGCCTAACAACTGGAACAAAGGAGGTTTGTATCTCCACATTAACCTGTCTACCAAAGTGCTGTGGCATATAAGATTCTGACTCATCTTTCGTGAAACTGATTCACTCTATATATTGCTCTGTTTAAGATATCTTGGCATCTCCTAGAAATTGAATATACACCCTAGACAGTGTTTCGCAGCCTTGGGTCCCCAGATGTTCTTGGACTAAAACTCCCAGAAGCCTTCACCACTAGCTGTGCTGGCCAGGGGTTCTGGGAGTTGCAGTTCAAGGACCTCTGGGGACCTAAGGTTGGGAACCACTGCCTTAGAACACACCAACAGTGTCTTCTCGATAGTTTTGTGTTACAAGGGAGGTTGAGTGATGGTAGAACACCTGCCTTCCAGATAATCTGGCCTGCTTTGAATAACCTGGATGTTAGTAATCGTTTAGACATCTAGTTCAAATGCCACTTGTGTTGTATGAAGCAAGGGCAGATTCACACCAGAACCCTTTCAGTATGTTCCACAGGATTATCTTCCTGTGGGTATATTTGGCAGGACATGAAGCATGGGATGGAATTCCACTCTTAATGCTGCAAGCGGAAGCGTAGGAAGTGCTTAATAGTACTCAAGATGTGAACCAATGGGTACAATCCCATCTACCAGGATACAGCATACAGACGTGGAAGATTTTCACAGACTTTACAGAGTAGCTCATGTAAAACTGTATGAAGACACACAAGGTACATGGCCTCTTGCTCTGCCTGCATCTGTGTCTTTACCTGAAGACAGAGGAGAGGAGGCTATGTTGTCTGGGAAATTCTGGGAGTTGTAGTCCAAAAACATAAACTTGTAGACTCCATTTTAAGACAAGAGAGGAGGAAGGAAGAGCTCTGATGAATCTACAGAAATTCTTGGTGCACAGGGGCTGTTGTCTAGATTGATTTATGCTCAATAGTTTCTATTATCCAATAAATAACGTACATAAGTCAGACATTAATTTGTTTTAACTCAAGAACCTGTTTTTTTTCTCAGGTACAGAGAGAACTGCCTTTGGGCTGTAGGAAGTATTGCTGAAGTACTGATTTCCAAATTTGTCTTGGTCTGTTGTTATCAAATATTGGAACTTTGACTGTAAGTAATTTAACTCTGAAAAACAATACAGTGAAGTAAATACTGACTTGGAGATAACCAAGCTTAGAGACGGTGCAGCCGATTCCTGCGTAATAACTTGCAAAATAGGTCATTTCTCTTTCAATCTCCAGCAACCTATTTAAAAAGAAAGAATTAGACAGCATTGTATCCACTTGCCAAGACCCACTTTACACGAAAGCTTGCTTCAGCTTTGGTCTAACGGGACTCTACATATGAATTCAGGCCAATACTGAAATACTTTTTGAATGTGAAGATTTATGGCCTTGTTGAATCAACCGATTTTTCATGCAAGTAAGTGTGAACTGAGCTGGCTGATTTAATATCAGCCCTAATGGTACGTCTCTTACAGCTGGCTAAACTTATTTCCACATTGTTCTTCTACTCAGCCAACTTTGGGCATGGATTCAGAGACATTAATTCCAGAACAATTCCTAAGAAGGGATTATAGCGAGCGCATAACACGAAATTAGAAGACAATTATTCTGACAAAATAGGTCTACCCAATTTTCCATTCATATAACTCTGTGCCAGCACTGACTGGTGATTAATTCAGCATGGGCAAAGCAGAGAAAAACGGATTCATTATTGCTTGACATCTAGGTAAAATTACCCACCTTCCAATATATTCCTCACAGAAAATTCTGAGTCATATAAAATACCTTTTTCAGCTCAGTGGCTAAATGAAATTTTGGGTACAATCCTGGAGAGAATGTATATTCCAGCAGTGGGCAACAGGGCCGAAGGCAAAAGAATGAGACAAAACAAAAACCAAAAACCAACCCCAGCATAATTTAAAGCTCTTACTGCCAGTAATTAAATATTAGCTGTGACATTTCATATTCTTGAGGGCAAAAAAAAATAATAATTGAGAAGCAAGGAAGCTGCTAGCCATGGGATATGGCCATTCGAGAAAGCCGGGATGACAAGACTGGGAGCCAGGAGGGCTCAATTTGGCCTGAGCTTCACTTTCTCAGGCAGGCTATAGAGGTGGCACATGATTGATCCAAAAGAGATTTAAAAACAAAAATAAACAAGAAAAGAAAAAAAACCCCATGTTTTTGCACCTTAAAGACCAACAGATTTATTTCAGTGTGAGCCTTCTTCTTTTCCATAAAGAGAAGTTAACGTTACCTCTCTTTACCTTGACAGGGCATCAGTTGCTCAGGAAATTAGCTGTTACTTAACTCAGGCTGCAGTCACACCAGCAAAATGTTCCCTAGTTCTTCCTCATTTATTTTGATTTTTGTCTGTGGGGTCAGATGAGGTGCGGCCATTATTGAATCATTGGGTCTACCTCTATACTATACCTGCTGCAAATCCCATCCATCAGGTGACTTCTACTTTTTTTGCTGCAGGATTCATTGCACACCAATGACCGTGGTGTCTTGTGTGCACAGCTGTACTGATACCTTTTCTGGCAAGCTGCCTTGAGTTGCTTCTGCCAGTGACGTGGTTTGTCCGTATGCCCCTTTAATTCTTTATAAATTGTTTAGCAAGTGGAGTGTTGATGTGCTGGAAAACTTATGTCATCAGCCTTTACTTCTTAGCAGATCCTTCACCAGGGGGTGTTTCTTCCCCTTTCATGTTTTCCTCTTGGGGGCTTTGTGGTAGAGCTGCAATGAAAAAAAGCCCAACTACAAGTTTCTCTGCTGCAGGAGAGGCAAACGCAGCAGAGAAACTTGTACCCATTGAGGAAATGTTGCTGAAATATGAATGTAACTAAACTGATTTTTTTTAAAAAGGAAAAAGGGGCCCCAGAGTCATTAACAACTCAGAGGGAAATATTCCAGTACCAAAGTGTAGCCGGCCATATGACATCAAATTTAGGGAAATGTTGCAATAATTCAAAAACAAATCGGAACGCACAACCTGGGATGTCTGTCATGTGACTGCAACTCATGACTGCTCGGGGAGTAAAAGATGTGAGAAAACAGGGGACATTTTACTGGTGTGATAAGAACTTCACTCTAGAGAGTAACTAGGAACATTTGTTCTTCTGCCAGCCAGGTAGTTTTTCTAGTCAGGCACTGAAGAAACCAGGCACTGATACAGGCAGCTAAATAGAATGACTGGCGACTTTCAACATTAAAACCACATCCTCTTCTTCCTCTGGAGGGGTTGGGTGGGAACTGGCATCATCCTCATCTTTGTATTTGTGTCATTGCCTTGGTGATGGGGGAGTAGAGCTGGCACAGGTGTCTGGCCTGATTAACACCCACCCCAGAACCCGCCAGGCCACTTACCGTGTGGCCGCGCAGCATATTCAGCACCCCATTCGCAGCAGTACCTCAGCTGCCGCAGCCCTCGCCTCCTTTCTTGACCGGCTGCTCCAGCAAGGGGGGAGGAGGATGAATCTCCCTGGTCAGCCATAGAGTGGCTGGGCAAGCAGGGAGGCGGGGTTGCAGCAGCTGAGCGACTACCATGTGAAGATGACCCTGGCCACATGCACGGCGCCTCATTGTAAGTAGACTGATGGGTTCTGGGAGTGGGTTTTAATCAGGCTTCATATTCATATACGAACACTAAGCCCTCATCTCTGTGGGGGAGTGGTGCTCTGCGTCAAGCTGAGATGAAATACGGACAGGTTGCTCACATGTGCAATGGGGAAGGTTGCATGTTGAGTCCCACCGATGTCCGTAGGACAACTGCAGGAAACGGCAAGGCAGGATCACAACCTTTCTAGAAGAATCGCACAGATTAGCTCCCAGATGATAACACAACAGCCAATCTCATTTCGTGACACTGTAGACGTAAAATATCTTGCTCACTTACCCACAACTTATGGATGCATTACTGTCATTTTGATGATGGGAACCATTAATCCACACGATTGTGTTGTTCACACATGCTTTGTTTGGGTCTTCGAGCTCTTGTTTCTCAATGTCATATTGGATAAAAGTGTCAGCCATCAACCCAAAGACGAGCAACATGGCAGGCTGGGCTGCTCCATGGAGAAAGGCACAGAAGCCACCCAAAACCATCATCAGTCTCTCCGACAGAGAAGCAAACCTAAACTGTAAGCATTCACAAGTAAATAGGGTGCAAAACCATTTTTTTGCACTCTTCATTTGTCCACTGTGTTGATTGAAGTATAATAATGTTAAATTGCACCATCCCTTTCTGGGATTACAATCATGCTTTGGTCATGATGCACATTATTCTTGTATATGGGTCACAGAGTCTGTCCTTCTAATTATATACTATATTCCCTAAATGGATAATTGGACACACATCGATTAATATTTTTGGGAAATGGCTGGCATTTTTAACCTTTGAAAGTCTATATAAATGATTGATCCAAAAGAAATTTAAAAACAAAAATAAACAAGAAAAGAAAAAAAACCCCATGTTTTTGCACCTTAAAGACCAACAGATTTATTTCAGTGTGAGCCTTCTTCTTTTCCATAAAGAGAGGTTAACGTCTCTAGACCAGTGGCTCCCAACCTTGGGTCTCCAGATGTTGTTCTTGGCCTAAAACTCCCAGAAGCCTGAACTATACTGGCCAGGTTGGGAACCACTGGTCTAGATGCTGGGGATAATCTATTAATCAGCATCTTGGGAGTTGGCGACATGGTTTGGTGGATGCTTTCCAGAGATGTTTTTATTGCTTTGCTTGTTCTATGGATAATGCCTTGCATATTATATGCCATTAAGGACATGGCCAGATGGGGGAAAGTGGAGCAATCCAGTTCGCTCTTTAAAGGTTCTTGGCTTTGGTGCAATCTATTTTATCTTGCATTGGAGTGATCCTTCCACTCACATGGGAAAAGTTTCTTCTCTTGTGAGAAGGATCCAGACCACTTTTCGGATGGCTCCAAGTTGTCTTCCTTTCACTTACTGATGCCCCCTCCTGCCTGTTTTTTGTGGCTGTCATTCTGTGGGCTGTGGTGACTCCTCCCCCCTTTTGTTGCCACATAAAGTAAGTGACATACTGCTATAGCAATGCATTAATTTAGCATGGTATACATATTCTACATCTTGTAATGAAAGCCAGCTCAAATGTATTAAACCGGCACGGTGTCAGTTATAGAAATATTTTAAAAAGAATAGGAAAACAGAGGAGGGGGTTTCGCTAACCACTCTTTTAATGTCACAACTAGAGATGGGGACAAACAGAGGGGTTCGCTAACCACTCTTTTAATGTCTCAACTAGAGATGGGGACAAATAAAAAATGGCAATTCGTTTTGATCTGTTATTCATCAAGGTTAACGGATCAACAAATACAAATATATGAATATTCTTCCACAAATCGACAGATCAATCTGTTGATTTGTCTGCACTTTAAACGGCTATAACACTGGCCCCTGATGACCTAGAGAGTTCGCTAACCACTCTTTTAATGTCTCAACTAGAGATGGGGACAAATAAAAAATGGCAATTCGTTTTGATCTGTTATTCATCAAGGTTAACGGATCAACAAATACAAATATATGAATATTCTTCCACAAATCGACAGATCAATCTGTTGATTTGTCTGCACTTTAAACGGCTATAACACTGGCCCCTGATGACCTAGAGACACCACATTTGCAGGGAAGCTTTCACAGACACTACAACCCTACAACTCCTGAAAGTTTGGTGAACAATGGATCATGGCCCCCTGAGTTATAGTCACAAAGAGGACACCCCAAGGAAAGCTCCCCCCAGATACTTAGAGGATCCAGAATCACAATGGAGCTTCCCATGTCTTTCCCCAACATGCCTGCCAACTTTGGTGAAGACTGGCTATCAGACATCCAAGTTATTCACCCTCATCCTGAGTGCAAACTCTACTTCACTGGCAAATGTAATGTTGTGCTGAGCTGAAGACAAACTCGATGCCTCATGAATGCCTCTGCCAAAGGGACCTCGCATCCTGCTGGGGCGAAATATAACTCCCTCAAAGCCATGGGCTTCTGTGCCATGTGGTAAACTGACTGAATAATGTAGTCCTGCCAAGCTAAACACACACACACACACACACACACACACACACACACACACACACACACACACACACACACACACACACACACACACACACACACACACACACACAAACAACCACTCTTAAACTTAAGCACTCTACTTGCCTGAAGACGGTACACACAACACATGCCTCCAGAAAAAAAAAAGTTTGAAAAAGCTCTTCTAGAGAGACCCCCAAAAAGGTAACGAATATAAACGAATATTAACAGATTGACGGATCGACGGATAAAACCAAGGAAATATTCGTCCAGCTATATTCGTCTAGATTTATATTTTTATGAATACGGGTTGATGAATATTTGATGAATCAGCTGTATTCGTCAAAAAAAACTGAACCGTTTTTATATTCATCCCTAACTCTAGTCACAACCCATTGAATACCTCACTGGGTTGTCACCTCAGACAACACTGCCTACAGTTTTATTTGGTTGTGAGTTAACCAACCACATGGGCTACAGAATAGGATAATTAGGAGCATTCTCAGTCACACCAAATAAACTGCAGGCGTAGTGCTGTGCCAGAAAGGAGCAGAACAGCTTGTAAAAGGGCCAGGATGAATTGTTATTGAAAAATGCATGCCTGCCAACTCATTTCCAATTTATGGCAACCTTAACAAAGTTCCCAAAATATTTGAGATCTTTAAGGGGTGGTTTTACCAGTGCAGCTGGTCATGGTATTTAAGCTCTAAGCTGCACAGTTGTGTGGCACTGTATTGGTGCCACACCCTTGCAGTTAGTGTTGCTGCTCAATGGGTTCAGGATGCAGCCAAATCTTTGCGTGCTCAGGGTAGGGTTTCTGCCCCATGTGGGTGGGAAATTAGAGGGAACATTGCTGAGAAAGCTTCATGGCATAGACCTTTTCTCCTGAGCCCCACATTTAGATTATCTATAGGTTTGTGATGGTCGGGTGCAACTCCCAGAAGGGAGAATTGTGAGATTTGTAGTCTCCCCCAAATCCAAAAATCCATGCCTTGTTCCAGCTCCCCCACCCCTATGTTTCCCTGGCCAAGTGGGAATTTGAATCCAGATCTCCATGATACAACACTGTCTCTCATGAATAATAATAGTAATGGTGAATTTGCTGGAGGGGTTCACTGCACTCATTTAAAGCAATGAGGGCAGAAGGCAAAATAGGATCCTTTTTTTTGGTAGATTTCTGGATAATTTGTAGTCTCAAGAAGGGCATCAAACTCCCAATTTTTCTAAAAGTGGTTGCCGAGACGAAGTACATTTTTTAGAAACAAATGCGAAAGGATTTGGGAGCTCTGTCCTTTGTCAAATTTTTGGACTAGATATGTTTTCAGAAGTATCCTGTTCTTTAATTCCTTGCATGTATCTATTCTCTAAGTAGCTTACTGCAGTTGGAGGATGTCAAGATTCTAGGGCTTGGCGGTTCTCTTTAAAAGGAGCAGAAGCTTGTTCCCATAAACTGGAGATTCCTCACCCATATTCTGAAAACCACATCATAGATAAGTAATATTGGAAACCAATAAATTCCTTACCAGTTGAAAGAAGCCAACTCGAATTTCACTCTTTTTCTTGTCTGATGTCCTTTAAAGAAAAATGACATGTACACCATTGTGAGATATCATTTTCCCCTGCCCCTGAGATGCTAAAATCTCTTTGCTGGGATGACCTTGAAAACCAATTAACCCCTTCAGAGAACCAAGGATTTGGTTGGAACTAACGCTACCTTAACGCTACCAGTGAGACCACAGGTTCAAGCAAATGTGTATTTCTCCCTCTTACCATGTTATCCCTCCAGGCATGCTAATCTTTCAGTGCTACCTGCCTGAGACATCAGACATGCAGACAAAACCATGCAGTTTCTCTGACTGATCACTTACAAACCCAAAGCAAGCTAGTTTTTTAAAGGTGGTGTGAAGCATGCTCAGCATAGCATAAATAAGTATAGTGGTGCCTCGCATAGCGATTGCTCCGTTTTACGACGATGTTTTTGCAATCGCAAAAGTGATCACTTTGCGATGTTACCTATGGGGAAAATTCGCTTTGCGATGATCGCAGGGAAGCAATCATTGCAAAGCCCCCATTTTCGGCCAGCTGATCGGGGGTTCCAAAATGGCCGCCGGGTAAACAAAATGGCTGCACGCTGTGTTGCCTCACTTTAGAGGCACCGAAAATGGCTGCCCCTATGGAGGATTTTTGTTTAAGGTTAGTTTTGAAGCCCATACGAACGCATTAATGGCATTTTAATGTGTTTCTATGGGCTTTTTGATATCGCTTAGCGATGAAATCGCTTAGCACGGATTAACATCGCTAAGCGAGGCACCACTGTAGTGTTTTCCTCATAAAGTTACTCTGCTTCTAAGTATGGAATCATTATCTTGTCTAAAGTCCACACTCAATTCATTTCATTGTCAAGATACATCTGTGGCATTGAGAAGCCCGCCCACCCCCTTTTAAACTATAGTCTCTCTTTTTTTGTGTGTGTTTTCCCTCCCCCAACAAGTTTGGACAGAAATAGGCTTTTAACTCCTGTAAAGGTAGTTCATATTACTGCCTTGTGTCCCTTCACTAGCAAAAAGGCAGTATAAAAATAAAGCAGATTATTGAACAAAACATTCTAGCATGATTTTAATCCATGTTCATACCCACAAATGTTTAAATGGGGAGAAGTCCTCAGCTAGAGAAAAACTGAGATTTCAAAACAGGCAGATTCATGGAGACAGGATAAATCTGGGGTTTGAAAACTTCTCACTCTTCCCTGCTGGGCGTGAGTTATAAAAGATGGGTGGCATACATGAGGTCCTTGTAAAAGACTGCAGCATTTACGGAACTGTGTTGATGTTATTGACAGAGGCAGGTATCTTCAAACATTGAGGCAGCTCTGGTGTGGAATGCCATCCGTACGGATACTGGATTAGTACATTAAAATGGCTGCCCTCTCAGCTTCCATGAAAAGCACAATGGAATTAATCAGTGAGCCCAGCTGCTATGCTAATGTAAGAGAAACGGTTCAACTTACTTCATCTCATTGTCTTTATTGTTGGAAGGCTCCTTGTTTGTATAGAAATAGCTGTAAAAGGCAAAACATTTCTCATATGAGCCCTCTGAATGTGCTTGGTGATTCTGAACATCACTAATAACATATTTTTGTCTATTACATTTAGGATAGTAGATTTGTACCTACCATCTTAAAGGGTTTCTATGCCTTAGATCAGTGGTCCCCAACCTTGGGCCTCGAGATGTTCTTGGACTACAACTCCCAGAAGCTTTCACCACCACTTCTGCTGGCCAGGGTTTTTGGGAGATAAAGTCCAAGAACATCTGGAGGCCCAAAGTTGAGGACCACTGCCTTAGATGTCAACACAATATGATTTTTTTTAAAGGCCTGATTTGAAAATGTTTTGAAGTATGTAGAACCAGAGTGTATTTTCAGTAAACTTTGTGTCTATCCAACTTTCTCTGGAAGTGAAAGTGGCTAGATTACATCCATTTGTACTTTGGCTGTAAGTACATTGGCTGTAGGTAGACATCACTCAAAGACTCTATTCCTAGAAAAAAGTTAGACAATAGCAGGAAGAAAGGAACGCCTGTCATCAGCTGGATTGAGTCAACAAAGGAAAACCTGGCCTTTAGTTTGCAAGACCCGAGCAAGGCTGGTCATAATAGATCATTTAGAAGCAATCATCAGGTAAAGTAGAAGTCACTTGAAGGCATGCGACAGCAACAACTCACACTTAGCACCAGATGGCAAATTGAGCAGGAACTCGGTCCATGCCTTCTCCTGATGGTATAGCGATCTAAAAATGTGCACTTATACACATAAAGTGGAATGCATAGGTATTGTGCAAATCTGCATCTCCCTTTTTTCTTCTTTTTGGGTAACATTTTTCCTTTCCTTTCCTTTTCTTGCTTTTCTGAATATTTTACTGAAAGATTTATTCGGGGGTATGTAGAAGTGGCCGTTCTATATTCAGTTCAGCCCAATTTAATAGACAGAAGCATTAGATATACTAGACAAGAATGCTGAAAGAAATAATTGTTCCTGGAGGAGGTTGCTAGCATCATAGCTGCAATTATCATCACATTGCATTTCTGATAAAAGCAGCAATGAGGGAGCAGAGTTTCAGGGAACTCAGCTGTAAACTTCCAGCAGAATCTCTGGGCCCTTTAAAATAATTTATGAGCCACCAGGAGGCGCTGTTTAAAGTGCAGTGGATAGATCTGCTGTCTATGCTTCTGTTCCCTCCCTTCAAACTCTACTTCGACACAACAATACATTTCTTACTTTGAGAGTCAGTAGTTTTGTTCTCATGTTGCATCTCAGTACAAACAACTCTGAATGTTATTATGTTTTATTGTAGGAGCGATCTGTTTCTTTTCCCTTTTGTTTCATATTCTGATGGATGGGCTATTCATCTGTCCATCAGTTAAGCAATCTCAAAGTTTGTGGAAAGAAAGCAGAAAAAGTCTTGTTGTTCAGGGTTGTTGTTGTTTTCTGCACATAATTCTTAACGGAATAAGTGAATAGATGCCACCCATGTAAGAGCTGAAACTATGTCATATTTCTTCTGCATTGTTCTATGATTCACTGCATGCATCCTAAGTTTTTCCTGAACTGACATCAATTGTGTAATATTATAGTTTCGCAATCAGAAGTCATAAACTGTTCCAAATGGCTTAGAGCAGATAAAGAATCAGGGCTCGTCAAAATCTTTCCAAAAATGAATACTTTCTTGGAGTGCCTGTTCACAAAGCAGCAGCATCCACAAATCACACAGAATCAGGCAGTTTGCAAAAGGTTCATTTAAAAAGGGGGGGGGAATGGGAGGGGGTTAATAAAGGAGAATAAAACAGCCCAGTGAGACACTATTTGTGTGGGGCAGGCAAAACATTGGGTAGGCAGAGGATAAAATGGAGTATTGTAGAGAAGACCCTTACCAAATACACAGGAGGACTACACACTGTAGCATTTGATGTGTCTCACCTGTACAGGCCAATATAATCAAGGGTACTTTAAGTAGCACCCCCAAATTTGGGGAGGGTTAAGTGAAGTGCATGCCTCCTCAGTCGACAAGCCACTTCTGCTAAAAATGAACATTTCCCCCCAAAGTCTATTTTTAAACAGCACAGTATGGAAGAATAACATTATCAGCTTATTTCCAGGGGATGCTAAAGTTTGCAGAAATCCAGAACATCTTCAGGGCCGGGGAATGCTAAAGAAGCAACCCAACCCCTAAACATCCCAGTGAAGATTAAGAAGGCTGGGTATGCCTTTGGGCATGAGGAACGGAAAAGAAGCTGGCCAGAGGATGTAATGCAGTGTGCTGGAAAAGAGTATGAGTGGCTGGTTCCGATCATAAATAGTGGCCCTCCGCGCAGAAAGCTTTTATTCTAAGTGCAATGTGTAATGCTAAATATTATGTACATAAATATCTGTTACTTACTCTGCTTTGCAGACTCCATTATCTGTAGGAAAACAAAAATATAACCATCTTTGAAAATGAATAAAAATGCGCACCTTTACAGTCTACATGTGAGACAAATATCATGTCAATCAGCTTTGAATTGATATCTCGCAGTATACACCTTTCCACTTGTTCCAGATTTAGTATATTATAATGTACAGTGAAATCAAATCAACATCTCTGCTGATTAACTCCCCCTCCACCAAAAAACAAAACAAAAAAAAACCCCCAACAGTCGCCATTTTAATCCACAATAGAGGGTGACATTGTATGAAACAGCAGCAACTATGGCTTGGGAAAGGATGAAATGGACACAGAGGTCCAGTCCAAGTGGTTATAGTGCTTTATAGAGTATCCTGTGGCCCCGTGTATAAACTCATGCTAAGATACAGAATGGACTCAATGGGAATGATTTCCAAATTTTAGATCTGCCCTTAAAAAAAAAACACAGGTTCCCTAAACTGGTTCAGGAACAAGAAACAGCCATAAATTTGTGGCAGGGAGCACAGAGACCCTAGGTATAAGCCCTGTTATCACTAATCAAACACACAGCTTCTGATAAGAAATAAAACAGTGTGAGTCAGCAAAAGGACACTGATCTGTGGACATTTATATAATTCACATGCCCCTCCCCACACCTGGACATCTTCCATTTGCTACTATTTGGAGACCCACCTTGCCCTTAACCCTCTGGCCACTGCAGAGCTAATGTATGGTGCTGTTCCTATCACAGAAGCACAAGATGACTTGTATATTAAGCCTTTCTCTCTCACAGTCTATAGCATGGTATATACATTCTGCCAAACTCCTCACCATGTCAAAATTTTGAAATGCAAATATGAAGATACATGGATCCATGCATACAGTAAATGGTGACTCTATTCTGTCTCATTTTAACTCAGAAAGGGTTGCTGTACATAATCTTAACACATTTATGTTAATATTGCCATGTTGCTGTCCCATTTACAGGCCTCTAGAATATGCCTCCTGGGAATAAAGCCAGCCTGTGTGTGGCTTTGGGCAAGCTGCACATCCCCAGAAGACTGTTAAACCACTTTAGAGTATTCAATACCTTAAATACCCAGGAAACTGTAGTCATATGTTAGAACTGATTTGATGGCATGTAGTTATTGTTAAATCAGGTAAGAAGATTTTTCAAACATACTGGAAACTGCTATAAAATAAGGGGCACAACAATGCAGAAAACCAGCTGATCAAATAGTAAAGATGTCACATTCACTATTTCTATCCTCTCACTTCCTCTTTCTATAATTAAAAAAGCCAGAGCTAAGAAACATTATTTTTAAAGTGAATGCATCACTATTGCTCTTTTAAGATACAAAAAATGTGACTTAGTATTTGAAGACATAAGTCTGCATGAATAAGTGCGTTATCAAGAAGTGACATTTCTGGAGGAAAAGTCCATTGCAGGTTACAAGTAGAGAGGGGGGTATTCGTATAGGAATACAAATAACCCCACGCAGCTGGAGTTAACGAGGGCCCACCCCCTGGGGCCGGACCACCCACTCACACATCCCCCGGTGGTGGCAACCTCACTTTTCCTTCCAATCACTCCTGGAGCCCCACTGTCTTCCTGCTTGGCTAGCCACTCCAGGCAAGGGGAGGGAGGACGAGTCTCCATGCGAGTGGCTAGCTGAACAGGAAGAGAGCAGGGCTCCAGGAGTGATTAGACGGATGAGCAATGCCGCCGCTGCTGGATGCATGAGTGGATGGTCTGGCCCCAGGGAGTGGACCCTCGTTAACTCCAGCTGTGCAGGGATATTCGTATATGAATACCCCATCTCCAGTTACAAGACATGATGGGGATGTATAATCTCCAGGCTTAAAAAGAAAGTTCCTCTAAATGCCAGATGCAGGGGAGGGGGATCAGGGGACAGGTATCTAGTTGTGTTGTGTACTCCCAGAGGCATCTGGTGGGGCCACTGTGAGAGACAGGAAGCTGAACTAGATGGGCCCTTGGCCTGATCCAGCAGGGCTCTTCTTATGTTCTTATCACATGACTCAGTAGTACCATATTGGTCACACATGCTTTTGAATAATAAAAAAAAACCTCTTAGGGAGTGGGGACAGTGGACATCCCTGTCTAGTACCTTTCTGTATTTGGATTTCTTTTGATAACTCGCCGTTAATTCTCACTTTTGCCTTTTGTTCAGTATATATTGCTTTAATTAATTTCATAAATCTTTCTCCGACCTGCAGTGTTTCCAACGTATATAGTATATCAAAAAATTCCAATCAAGATTATTAAAGGCTTTCTCTGCATCCAAGAATATCATGGCCATCTGTTTCTCTGGGTGTGCTTCATAATATTCCAAGGAATATACTGTATTATTCTTCATCTGCCTTTTTGGTAGGAACCCAGATTGATCTTGATGTATCAAGTGGATTAAAATTCTTTTCATTCTAGTTGCCAAGATAGTCGCATATATTTTGTAGTCCACGTTCAACAATGAAATCGGCCTATAATTTTGTATTTCTTTACCTTCCATGTTTTCCTTATGTATAAGAGAAATTATCGCTTCAGTCCATGTTGCTG